TCTCTCTCTTCTTTACTTGGCTGAGCAGCACCATTTACTTCCAGGGCCAGCCTTGGATACAGCACAATTATGGAAAAAGGCTGTCAGCACTAATCACTCCGTCACATGCCTGAAACATTCTACAGCATCTGAAGTGCTAACAAAAAGTCTACAGGCACTGGAAAATATTGTTAAATCACGATCTCTTAATTTCAACTAACATGACAAAAAGTTTCAGCTTCAATGACTTACTAAATCCCTGAGCCATCTTTAAAGTATTGTTTCTTTTTTTTCCTAAGTTGAAGAATGAAACAGATTTGAAGGTTATATTTAAAAGAGTGGAAAGCCAAGATAACTGTTACAGTTAATGTTTAAGATGACATTTCAGATACTCCAACTAAACTAAACAAATTTTAGTAGGCTATTGGTCATTTTTTAAACCTTGTTTAAAAGGTATGATTTATTTTCTATTTATTTTTATGTATTTATTTTATTTTATTTTTTTTAAAGATGACCAGTAAGGGGATCTTAACCCTTGGCTTGGTGTTGTCAGCACCACACTCACCCAGTGAGCTAACCGGCCATCCCTATATAGGATCTGAACCCGTGGCCTTGGTGTTATCAGCACCGCACTCTCCCGAGTGAGCCACGGCCCGGCCCCTAAAAGGTATGATTTATATACCATAAATTTCATTTGTTTTAAGTGTACAATTAAATTGTTTTGGTAATTTCTTTTTCTTTTTTTTTTTTTTGTGGTGGCTGGTCGGTACAGGGATCTAGTGGTGTAATAACGTGCTCTAATCAACTGAGCTAACCGGCCATCCCTGCAATTCAATTATTTTTAATATATTTTCAGAGTTGTGCCGCTATTACCACAATCCAGTTTTAAAACATTTCTGTCATCCCAAAGAGATCCCTCATGCCAGCTTTCAGTTACTTTTCATTCCCATCACCAGCCCCGGCAACTGCTAATCTCTTTCCTGTCTCTAAAGATCTGCCTTTTCGGCACATTTCATATAAATGGGATAATAAAATATGTAGTTGGTTGTGTCCGACTTGTTTCATTTAGCATTTTTTCAATATTTTAAAATTGAAATATACTCATATATCATAAAATTCACCATTTTAAAGTGTGTCTATGCTTGGTTATGAAATTTCACAAGGATGTATTATGTATCTTCCCCCTTATTCATTCTCTTAGGCACTTGAGCACTTGTTTCTCTTCAATTCTGTATCATCTATATTTTAAAATTTTCTTTATTGCTCTATCTTTTCTGTTATTTTTTCCTGAACCTCCTATTAGTTAGACAGTTTGATCCTTCCTTTTATCTTTGCTCTCCTCTTTTCTTCCATCTTGTATTTTCCCCTAAAGTTGATTTCCTCAACTTTATTTTCTAATTTGTCTATGACATTGTAAAATTTGGAAGTCATATTTTTAATTCCTAAGAAATCTTTCTGGTTTTCTGTCCATTTTTCATAGTATCAAGTTTTGGTCCAATGAAGCCATCTTTAAAGTATTGTTTCTTTTTTTTCCTAAGTTGAAGAATGAAACAGATTTGAAGGTTATATTTAAAAGAGTGGAAAGCCAAGATAACTGTTACAGTTAATGTTTAAGATGACATTTCAGATACTCCAACTAAACTAAACAAATTTTAGTAGGCTATTGGTCATTTTTTAAACCTTGTTTAAAAGGTATGATTTATTTTCTATTTATTTTTATGTATTTATTTTATTTTATTTTTTTTAAAGATGACCAGTAAGGGGATCTTAACCCTTGGCTTGGTGTTGTCAGCACCACACTCACCCAGTGAGCTAACCGGCCATCCCTATATAGGATCTGAACCCGTGGCCTTGGTGTTATCAGCACCGCACTCTCCCGAGTGAGCCACGGCCCGGCCCCTAAAAGGTATGATTTATATACCATAAATTTCATTTGTTTTAAGTGTACAATTAAATTGTTTTGGTAATTTCTTTTTCTTTTTTTTTTTTTTGTGGTGGCTGGTCGGTACAGGGATCTGGTGGTGTAATAACGTGCTCTAATCAACTGAGCTAACCGGCCATCCCTGCAATTCAATTATTTTTAATATATTTTCAGAGTTGTGCCGCTATTACCACAATCCAGTTTTAAAACATTTCTGTCATCCCAAAGAGATCCCTCATGCCAGCTTTCAGTTACTTTTCATTCCCATCACCAGCCCCGGCAACTGCTAATCTCTTTCCTGTCTCTAAAGATCTGCCTTTTCGGCACATTTCATATAAATGGGATAATAAAATATGTAGTTGGTTGTGTCCGACTTGTTTCATTTAGCATTTTTTCAATATTTTAAAATTGAAATATACTCATATATCATAAAATTCACCATTTTAAAGTGTGTCTATGCTTGGTTATGAAATTTCACAAGGATGTATTATGTATCTTCCCCCTTATTCATTCTCTTAGGCACTTGAGCACTTGTTTCTCTTCAATTCTGTATCATCTATATTTTAAAACTTTCTTTATTGCTCTATCTTTTCTGTTATTTTTTCCTGAACCTCCTATTAGTTAGACAGTTTGATCCTTCCTTTTATCTTTGCTCTCCTCTTTTCTTCCATCTTGTATTTTCCCCTAAAGTTGATTTCCTCAACTTTATTTTCTAATTTGTCTATGACATTGTAAAATTTGGAAGTCATATTTTTAATTCCTAAGAAATCTTTCTGGTTTTCTGTCCATTTTTCATAGTATCAAGTTTTGGTCCAATGAATACCACGTCTTCTTGAGACTTTGAGTATGCAAATTAAGAAAAATTATTCATCTTCCATTTTCTAAATTTTCTGTTTCTTCCAGGATCAGCTGGAATATTTGGTCAGATTGTTCTCCTTGCGGGTGGGGTAGAGGATAGAGGGGAGAGGCAGAATTGGTAGTGCTGGTGGTCCGTAGGTCGACACTCAGTGAGTCCCTTTGTGTCCAGCCTTCCTTCTTACCCATTCCACCAACCCTCTGGACGGTTCTTCCTCCTTTGTGGCTTCCTTCTGCATTATGGTTTTCTTCTTCAAAACATGGTGAGAATTGGTAGTGCTGGTGGTCCGTAGGTCGACACTCAGTGAGTCCCTTTGTGTCCAGCCTTCCTTCTTACCCATTCCACCAACCCTCTAGACGGTTCTTCCTCCTTTGTGGCTTCCTTCTGCATTATGGTTTTCTTCTTCAAAACATGGTGTAAAGGTTAATAATGTAGGCTCTGGGAACAAAACCTAGGTTCAAATCTCCTCTCAGCCACCTCTTAATTTTGTGACATTAGCCAAATTATTTTATCTCTTTTACATATCAATTTCACCTGTGAAATGGGAATTAAAAATAATAATTTCACTGAGTTGTTTGGTTTAGTAAAATAATGCATAGCTAGCATTTGGCTTGGTGACACATAGTAAAATGTTCCATAGATACTTATTATCCATCAAAAGCCTCTCCATCTCCTGGGACTTTGTTAAAATCACTTACCTTTGGTAACTTCCCTTCCAGAACTTGTTATTAGCTACTGTGGTCTAAATATGTCCCCCAAAATTCATGTGTTAGTATTAAGAGGTGATAGTATTAAGAGGTGGGGGTCTTTAGGAGGTGATTAAACCAGGAGGTCAGAGCCCTCATGAATGGGATTAGGACCCTTATAAAATGGCTTGAGAGAGTGGGATCACTCTCTTCTGCCATGTGAGGACACCTAGATGGTGCCATCTATGAGGAAAGGGCCCTCACCAAGACAACAAACCTGCCAGCACTTTGATCTTGGACTTCCCAGCCTCCAGAACTAAGAGAAAATAAATTTTCTTTATAAATTACCCAGTCTCAGGTATTTTGTTATAGCAGCACAAACAGATCAAGACATTAGCTTATTCCTTTCTACAATTTCTTTTCTTTCATTTTAATAGGTGAGACAAAGATGTATGGTCCACTTTGCTGTATTAAACTGGAAGTTTTTTAAATTTTTATTTCATTTAAAACTAAGTAGCACTATACAGAGACTATATATACATAGTATCCTAGTATCCCTCCCAACCTGGTCCCACACCAGCCTTTGAAGGGGATCTTTCTACTGTCAGTTTTAAATAGAAAACTTTCTTGTTCTGCTCATGAAGGTTTTATAAATATTGGGGTCCAGTCCTAGCTAGAACAAAGTTACAAATCTGTTTTGTGATCATTACTTTGCCAGATCCATTTTAAATCTACATTTCTGGGGAAGCCAAACCCAGCCGCAACTACACAAACTGCTGCCACCGCCCTGGGACCCCACTGGGTCCCAAGGCTTGGAGCCAATGGAAGCTGAACCCAGCAGCAACCAGGTAAAGAGCACACCAAAACACCATTTCCACACGGGTAGCCCTCCATAGCCACCACAATTGCCATGTCTGCTGCAAAGGCAGCTAGTCTCTATAGTAACAGCCACAGCCACTGTGCAGATGGCATGCCAGACTTACAACTGCATTGACACAAGGAGAGGCACCAGCAGAGACCAAAAAGAAAAACAAACAAAAAAGAGGTCCTTTCTCTCCACAAAGCACACTCCAGAGTAACAGAAGACGCATCTGATTTGCGATAATAGGGGAGGACTGTCTCAGTACTGGACAGATAGTAGGCAGCAAACCAACAGAGAAACAGTTTATCAGATGGAGAGAACAAATCTATGGTTATTAGAGATAGGAGGGGAAGGGGGTATTGGATAAGGGGAATAAAGAATAAGTATGATTCGTAACAATGGATATATTAATAAAAAATAAATTAAAAAAAAATCTACATTTCTAATCTGGTGGGAGCGTATGCAATTCCCCTGCTTTCTCACAGGTGACGCTGCAGAGAAAGGCCGAGCAGAGCAAGCGCTACTGAAGAAGGACTTGTCCAGTAGGGGGCGAAGCCCGTGGGGGCTGGGTCTCTGCGAGTCGTTCGCAACGTCGGGGGCGGGGACAACTCTCGCCCCGCCCCTGCCATCTGCGGCGCCCTGTGATTGGGCGGAAGAACTGTCACTTGGCAGAGCCACTGGGAGAGAGGAAGAGGGTCCTCGCCGGCTGACGGTGACGCTGACGGTGAGGCAGTGGCGCTGCGGGCAGCAAGCCTCTTCGGGCACTCTCCCCTCGTCTCTCTGCGGTGAATGGCGGCGAGATGGAGCGCGAGGGGAGCGGCGGCAGCGGGGAGTCGGCCGGGCTCCTGCAGCAGATCCTCAGCCTGAAGCTGGTGCCGCGGGTGGGCAACGGGACCCTGTGCCCCAACTCCACTTCTCTCTGTTCCTTCCCAGGTACGGTCCCGCCCCGCGCCTGCGCACTGCGCGCCGCGCCGTCGCCGGGCTCGGGGGCGCGCCTCGCCCCTGAGTCCAGGAGGGGTCCCCTCCACCCCGGCGACCGGTCGGGCTGGGGCTGTTCTCCTCCTGGAGGGAGATTCCTTCTTCCTCGTCCGAGAGCCCCTTTCCCCCGTCACTTCCTCGTCGGCTCTTCGGGCTGGGTCACCCCGAACCCGCGCTGTGGGCAATATAGGAGGGAGCGGTCGCAGGAGGACCCGGTGACTGGAGAGAGCTGGGCCGTCCCCCGTCCCCGGAGCCGACATTGTCCTTTGGAGTTTCTGAACGCCCCAGATTCGGACTTGCACCGGACAGAGCCCTGGAGGCGGTCGTGTCCGCTTTGTTTGGGGCGCGAGATGGCTCCTGGCATCCCGTCTGAGGGAACCCTGCTCGGGTCGTCCCGGCCTGGCTGGGGGGCAGTCACAACTCACACTCCCTTTGTTTCTAGCCTGTGGCCCAACCCCTCTGCCCCGGGAGCTTGTCTGCTGATCGCTGGCACCTTGGTCCAAATCTACCCCCTCCACCAGCTTCTCTTTCTAGGAATCACTTTCTGAGACCTGTTGCCGTGTCTCCCACTCACGCCCCACTGGAACTTCTGCTGGGCCTGGTAGAAGGGTTTTTCAAAGTAATAGTGCAAGGTTAAGCTATCAGTGTCCCAAAGTTGAGAGGAGGAGAAATTACTTCCCCTGGGAAGATTAGTAAAGGCTTTGAGGAGAGGGCACAGTTATTTGTGTTGGACGCTTAAAGGCAAGAAGACTGAGGCCAATGGTGATTGAAGGGAGAGTTTGGGGCTGTCCCGGAAAGTTGACTGGTATCTTGACTTAGTACCAGATAAGATCCCTGAGACAGTGCAGAGGGAAGGAGGATGGGATTACTGACTGCAGTCCTAAACAAGGTACCTGTGATTTCTCATCCACTGGCCAGCGACTGCCAGGCGCCATTCAGTGGACACCTGAGACTTGCTGAGTATTACTTGCCTAGGGATTCTCCCGGACAGGTTTGTGAAATAACTGATAAGGTAATAACCCGTGTTGGGGACAAATGCAGATGTTAGCTTGTAGTCATGCCTAAAACGAGAATCTGGCAGCTCAAGTTGTTTCAAAAGGTACTAGGATAAAATTTGACAGTGATAAAAAATACATGATATTCTGGAGATCCTGTGTGAAAAATGAAATGTTCATGCAGTCTGGAATCACTACTGGGACTGTATTAGTATGTCTTTGTTTCCTTATTTCTTCCTCCAACTCTTTATTTTGAAAATTTTCAAACGTACTGAAAAATTGAAAGAACAGTACAGTTGTCTCTCAGTGTCAGTGGGGAATTGGATCCAAGACCTCCCCTGATACCAAATCCAAGGATGCTTACGTCCCTGAGGTAAAATGGTGTAGTATTTTCATCCAGCCTATGCACATCCTCCTGTAAACTTTAAATCATCTTTAGATTACTTATAATACCTAATGCAATGTAAATGCTATGTAAATCGTTGTTATACTGTGTTATTTAGGGAATAATGACCAAAAAAAGTGTACATATTCAGTACAGATGCAATTTTGTGGGGGGATATTTTTGTTTCGTGAGTTGAATATATGGATGTGGAACCCACCGATAGGGAGGGCACTCTGTACAATAAATACCTGTATGCCCTTTAGTTAGATTCAATAATATTTTGATTCTTTGGCTTTCTCTCTCTAAATATATATACATTCATATCACATTTTAGTTTCTGCTGAGCCATTTGAAAGGAAGTTGCAGAAGTCATGGCACTTGATACCGATACATAAGCATGTATCTTTTTAAAACAAGGACATTTGTTGTCACAGCCACAAAACCATATCACACCCAAGAAATTTAACATTGGTAGAATAATGTTATCTAATGGACAGGCCTTATTTAAATTTCCCCAATTGTCCAAGTAGTTTTTTTCCTTTTAAAAAATTTTTTTTTCTTTTTCTTTTTTCCAAGTGAATTTTTAAAAAAATTTTAATTCCAGGATTTAATCAAGGATCACACATTGCATTTATTTGTCATATGTGTTTAGTCTCATTGAACTTAGAACAGTTCTTCCATCTTTGTTTTAATTTCTTGGACTGACATTTTTGAAAAGTACAGGCTAATTGTTTCGTAGGATGTCCCACAATCTAGGTTCATCTGATTTTCTTCATGATTAGATTCAGAGTAAACATTTTTGGTCAAAATGCCACCTATACAAGTGGTGATGTCTACTTGTCAGTGCATTGCATCAGGAGACATTTAATGTCAATCTGCACCTTTATTGATAATGCTAAGTTTGATGATTTGGTGAAGATGGTATCTGTCAGATCACTCCACTGTAACTTAATTCTTTCATAATTATGAGAAATATGTGGGGTGATCCTTTGGAACTGGATATTCTGTCCAGTCTGTCTGGCTTTTTGTTTTCTTTCTTTAAGAAAAGATTGAGGTAAATGGATCTGGAATGATAAGTTTTAATGTGATAGTAGAGAATCGGTAGTTGTGGGAACTGTTTTGCTTTCAAAAATTGTTCTGAAAATAGTAAACTTCAATATGTACTATGTATCTCAGGGGTGTTAATCACCAGGATCATTCATTCAGCAAGTATATATTTTGCCAAGTGCAGGCTCTGGGCTGGGGGTATAAACATGTATGAGACATAGCCCTTTACCTCAAGTTGATCAGAATTTGGTGGTAAACACATAACCTCCCTGCTATGTCTCATCTTTAGCTAAAATGATTGTATAATGATCCTGTTTAAGGCAACAAAGTCTTAATGTGAATTCCACTCATTGTCCTAAATCTGCCATAGTTTCTATTTTGGCCCCACAGAAAAGGTTACTTGCAATTTATGCCAACTCATGGCAAAATCATTGCTCTAAAATATTCTGAAATATTTATCTCTACCAGGAAGCTTTGAATTGATTTTTTTTTCCCTGCATTTGTGATTTGGCCATTTAGATTTCTGCCTATACCTCCTTATTCCAAATTGTTCAAAATTTCTTTTGTTGTTGTTGTCATTTTTAACAAATTTGAATACCAAGAAAAGCATATCTTTTTCTTGTATCTGGAGTGACATTCATTTTCTGAAGGGATGGATTTCACTAAATCAATGTCAAAGTGTATCTTATGATAATTAAACTAAAACCCAGTAATGTTTTTGTTGTGCCATTGCTAGAATCAAGAATGGGTCACGCTGGGACCAGTCATTCATTTATTCACTCAACAAATATTTACTCAGTGTCTGTTGTGTGCCTGTTGTTTTCTAGGCACCAAGTAAAGATGCTATAGTGAACAAAACAGAGCCCCTTCCCACATGGAGCTTTCATTCTAATGGGGAGAGAGAGCGCAAACAAACAAAAAAGTATGGAATGGAACAGCTGGTGGTACAGGGTGAAGGACACAGTAAGTGGCAGGGCATGTGTGTTGGGTGGACTACGGTTTTACATAAGGTGATCGGGAGGCCCTTAATGATGAGGACATTGGAGCAGAAGACTGAAGGAAGTGAGGAACAAGCTACACAGCTATTGGGGGAAGAGTGTTCTAGGCGAGGAAGCAGCACAGTCAGAGGTCCTGGAATGGGAGCTTGTTTAAGAAACATTAAGGAAGCTATTGTGCCTGGATGAATATGTGGGCAAGGGGGAGAGGTGGAGATGATGTTGGATCCTGGAGGGCTGTATTGGAGGGTTTTGAGCAGAGGAGGAATGGTGGGACTGTTTTGCTAAGTGTACAGTCCAGTAGTTTTTAGAATATTTACAGAGTTGCACAGCCATTACCGAAATCAATTTTGAGAATATTTTCAGACCCAATAGCACTAACTTAACTGGGTTTGTGTAGAGAATAGATGAAAGGCCAGATCAGGACAGACAAGGTCTGGCCGTGCTAAGATCAAGAGATCACTGGAGTGAGGCAGGCCAGGGGGCACACTCAATAAACCAGGATGAGGCAGGCAGCAGTATCAGGAGAGAGGTGGCAGACTACAGTTGGTAGTCTTGATGGGCAAGCCATTGTTGTTAGGGAGGAGTGGAGGGGGCAGATGGGTCTCTTGGCAGGTAGGTAAGATTTGGCAAGAGAAGAGTCTCCCAGTGGACAGTGTGGAGAGATGCAGGCTGATGAGCAATTAGCATCAAGGTAGTCCAGCTCCAGCATGGAGTTGCAGGACCTTGTAGGACTCCTGCCCCAGAAGGACAGATGTGTTCTACTTAGAACCCCAACTTCAGAGGAACTGGCTGTGTTCACCCAGTTGTTTGACCTGGAATGTAATGTAAGAATGGGGCCAAAAGGATGGCTGAGTTCTAAGTGTCACACTGCCCACATGGCATAGGTTCATTTCATTCCTGCTGATTGGGGCCAGGTTGGTCTTGAGTCCTTGCATGGAAATCAGGTGACTCAGCAGTGGTGGTTAGAAGGCCAGGGAGCTGGCCATTATTTTATTTTATTTTTATTTTTTAAAAAGATGACCGGTAAGGGGATCTTAACCCTTGGCTTGGTGTTGTCAGCACCATGCTCAGCCAGTGAGCTAACCGGCCATCCCTACATAGGATCCGAACCCGGGGCCTTGGTGTTATCAGCACCGCACTCTCCTGAATGAGGCACGAGCTGGCCCTGGAGCTGGCCATTATAAATCTCTTTTGTTAATGGATCCGAACCCGGGGCCTTGGTGTTATCAGCACCGCGCTCTCCTGAATGAGGCACGAGCTGGCCCTGGAGCTGGCCATTATAAATCTCTTTTGTTAATGCAGAATCACCTAAAGGATTTTGCTCTCTTTGTGGTTTTTCTCTATCACGGAAATGTCTTATCTGTAAATATATTGGGTTTTTTGTTGGTTTTTTTTTTTTTTGATGGCTGGCCAGTATGGGGATCCAAACCTGTGATCTTGGGGTTATAAGGCTGTGCTCTAGCCAACTGAGCTAACTGGCCAGCCTGGAAATATATTCTTAAAGATTCAAGCTCTTGAGGGCAAGGATCT